ACATTGGGCCAATGAGCAAATTGACATTTTGCTAACATCGGCCAACATCGGCCAACATTGGCCCAATGTCGCATTCATTTGACCAATGTTGGCGCAACGTTGGGCCAATATCTGCAGAAATAACTATCAACATTGGGCAAACGTTGGCCCAACATATCGGGCCAACATTGGGCCGATGAGCAAACTAACGTTTGGCCAATGTCATTTGCCAGCATTGGCCCAATGTAACCGATGACATTGGCTCAACGTTGGCCCAATGTTAGCATACCATCTGGGAAGCGCACTAAGACAATCGCGAGGGACGGACCAAAACAACCTCCTGACGTCTGCCCAGTGCTCAATAAATCTAGTGATCCTCTCTCCGAATCGGAGACCTCACTTCTTTCCAAGGGGCTGAATTTCTGCCCCACGCCACGTGCGGTCGACGAAAAACAAGTCAGAGAGGACACCCGAGCATTCTTCAGGAGACTTCGTTAGAAGGAGCACTTTTCTAGAAAAGACTCCGAAGTAAATTCATACGACTCTTCCAAGCCAGATTTACACAATCTAGAGGAACACAAACTCTATAGGCCTTATGAGAGCTTAAATCCTTTTGACTGTAGACCAGGACAATTCTATCTGCTTCCTAAAATACACAAAGAAAGCATGCAAGGTTGCCCCATAGTCAGCGCAATTGGACACCCCAACGGAGAAAATTTCTGAATTCATTGATTTACATTTCCGTCCACACGTAGAGAATTTGCCATCCTATCTCAAGGACACCACGGACTACATTAACAAGACGCCCTCTACTGGCCTCCCAGAACATATAATGGCGGGACACGACAGGCAAAACCTATTACGCTACAAGGAGAAAGACAATAGCGGTAGGGTCCATCTGGTAACCACACACCATCCCGTATTTAAAACCTAAGCGGTATCCTTCAAAAGAACCTACCAATTCTCCATTCAAACAAACGAATAGCAGAAGTCTTTAAGGAACCCCCATTGGCTGCATACAGACGCCCTAGGAACCTAAAAGACATGGTAGTAAGAACCAAATTGGACAACCCATTACCTAACGGGGGATTTAAAACTTGCTCTGACAGAAGATGTCTTCTTTGTAAGCACAGCACTGACACAGACAGTTTTAACAGCCCTGTTACAGGCCGCAGCTACAAAATACTACGAAAATTGTCCTGTCATACTGACAACTGCATTTATCTCATCAGTTGCAAAGTTTGCTCCAAACAGTATATTCATTTGGTGAAACAGGAGATCTCCGCAGGAGAATCAATAACCACCGTTCGTCCATTAGAACCAAAAAACTCAATGAACCCGTTGGGAAATATTTCAACCTTGAGAGTCACAAATGGGAGGACATGACAGTAGTGGTGATTGACCATAACCCAATATGGACAGACGTTCAGAGAAAAAGCAAAGAAAAGTTCTGGATGCACAGATTGAAGCCATTCCGTCCCAATGGTATTAACAAACTGAATGACTTCACCAGAATGAACGTAAACTAGACCCGATTCCTGATGATACCAAACAAGTTTATTCTCTCAATTTAGTGTAAACTCTACAGTTAATTTGCGTCACCAACTCTCGAACAACCCACATAACTATGTATTGCTTACGCCTTTGTTAATTAATTATTAATCATTTTCTACCGATAATTAGTCCTAAATCATTTCAAATTAAAATTCATAATAGATTATAATTCATATGTTCAAATTCCCCTTCTATATTATTTTTCTTTGTCAAGAATAGTAACGCCATTTTGAGAGAATGAAACAATGTACGATTTACTGATTGTCGTAATCAATTAGCATAATTAATTCGTTCAATTATGTAAATCGCACTTCACCCGAGTATACCCGATAGACTGGACGCATTTCATAGCGGTTGGGATTTTTTCTTTAATAGTGTTCTTAAAGATTTCCAAATCAACATGTAACTAAGTATGTAAATATATAGTGTTTAGTAGTTAAGTAGTTGTGCTAGTTGTTTTTTATTTCTCTTTTTCCTTTGTTCTTATGACTTTTTAACTTTTTGAGGAAGGGACAGGGCGTCCCGAAAATTTGACAATTTTTATCGTTCGTGTCGTTGGTCATTTTTAGTGCTTTATGTATATATATATATATATATATATATATATATATATATATATATATATATATATATATATATGTGTGTGTGTGTGTGTGTGTGTGTGTGTGTGTGTGTGTGTGTGTGTGTGTGTGTGTGTGTGTGTGTGTGTGTGTATGTTATACATGTTATTTTGAGCTTATTTCAAATTTCTTGAAAGAAATTTAAAAAATACGATTGAAATCGACCACGAAATCTTCAAGCAACCCTCGTTGTAGAGGTGAAGCCAGGCCCCATGTTTGTATTCTAATAGTTACTTTTGCCTTTACACAATGCAAGGTATAAACGACTTCACATATGAAAGGACAAGATAGGGTAAAACCAGTATCCCCCCCGCCGTCATAAAACGAGTATTGGTTCTAAGATATAGAAAATACAGTCTTCACATAAAACAAATCAAAAGGAGGCAACTATTTATCTCTCTCTGTTTTGCGTTACTCCTCTAAATGTTACAGGTCCAAGGGAAAGATTTGCAAGACCAAGCTATTGAAGAAAAGTCTTGTCTATTTTCTAATGATACCTTTTTTTTTTAATTTGTATGTCGTAGGACTATACAATAACACTTTAAAGAATAATAAAATCCTAATTGTACTAGCTAAGGAAATTCATGAAACAACATTGTAAATGCGTCCAATGATTTTATTAATTAGGGTGATGATAACTGGTAAGCAATAACAAACGATGATGTATGACATTGAAACTGACGTTGAAGGACAACTAACGTAGAAAGTATTACCATGGATAGATATAATGTATGGTTACAAATGATGCTGACGTGGAAATGTGACATTAACGTTTAAGTACAAAAAATACAAACGAAAAATACTATAAATACAAGATAGTTCAAGTAAGTTACACATGATGTACTACATGTCTTAGAAAATAAAAAAAAAAAAGAAAAAAAAAATGAAATACAAATTTTCTATAAAATCTTTAAAGTTTAGACAAAATGATATGATCAGCATTCAAATGTATGCAGATGTACGCGTGTACAGTGATGAAATGACCGATTTACTTCATATATGCGTAATGTATATATCATTTTCCTTAAGAATTGTTTTGAATACATGTATTAGAATGTAAGGATATATAAGCAGTCTAAACAAAATTTGATCATGTGTTGTAGATTTTGAACTCCCAAATGCAAAATATGCTGTCATAATCAAGCGAGGATCTCTGCAAATGTATAAATCAATTTGGAATATTATATTCGTTGAAACCGCTTTTCATGACACTGTAAAGTCATATAAACAAGGCGGGTTTAAGTCCTTACTCAGCTCCAGGGAATCTCATCAAAATAAGTGTATGAGGTAGGAGAAGCGGAGATTGAAACACAATGACGTTGTCAGACGTCATGAAACTAAACAGCAACAGCGCCGGTTGATCATATAATGTCTTTTTTTATAATAATTTGGAAAACGTTGAACGTATCAAGCTAAAAAATTCAACATTTCTTTATTTGTTGTTGTCTTACACCTGTATGTTCCATATAAATTTTTCAAAGCACAGACTACATATTACTAAGTTTAAAGCCTAGCTCAGTCCGCTTAATTTTTTGCTAATTCCTCGTATCTATACCAGATATATATATATATATATATATATATATATATATATATATATATATAAATATATATATAAAGCACAAATTACAACAACTCTTAAACTAATATAACTGCCCTAAGTGAAGGAATATTAATATAGAAAGCACAGAGAAATTCACTTTTACAAGGATACTCACTTCCGCCCCAGCCCGGGGTTGAACTCGCGACCTACGGAATCTGTCTCCTAGCAGTATAGGAACAGCGCGTTAGACCGCTCGGCTATCTAGGCAAGTTAAAAAACTTGCTTTCGATGCCGATGGAATTCTCACAACGCTGCCCTACACTACACGGTCATTGAGAATGGAAGTGAGATACATATATATATACATATACATATATATATACATATATATATATATATATATATATATATATATATATATATATATATATATATATATTATGTATTTCATCTATATATCGGTCGCTGATTCTGAAGCAATAGTCAAATTTCGTCAGTTTTTGAAATAAAAGCAAGAAGGCATATTTAAATTCCCGAATTGTAAACCTTTTTTAAATCAATCCAAATCTTTGGACATAATGTGTTAATGAAGTATGACTTTGGATACTGGTCACAAAAACTGGTTTACTAGGTTTGTGAAACAGATTTGAATGCGTTTCTCTTAAGAAGAGTAATGTTACATATTACAGATTGTATAATTGAGCTGTCATCATTTAGAGAAGCGTTTACTTTATTCAAGAAAATTATTCCTCCTACACGGATTTCTAGGCAAGTCAAACTTTTGAGAGGTACTGTGTTTTGTCGATTAGTTCATAAATTTGAGGAATTGCTAGACTTTAAAATGTTAAAAATAGAATTTTTTGGCACAGTTTGGTTCATTCTTCTCCTTTCACATATACAGTTAGGTAAATTTCAATAAAATACAGCGTCCAGTCTAAAGAGCAAAAATTACATACTTGCGCACTTGTATCTCAAATACTTTAAGGAGTGTAGCGGAGGCATAATTCAATGAGAAATGGATGAAAACATAGAAAATCTTCTTAAAATAAAGATAAAGATGTTTCTCATTTTTTGTATTTGAGGTAAAATAAGTATTAAATGAAAGTATATATATCAATGATTAAGTGCATGCAAAAATCAAAGTAAGATATTTAATTTGTTGTCAGTTTACGGGGAGTCGTATGACACATCGTACTTTTACATGAGTTACCTCAAAATGTTCTCAGAATCTTTCTTTTTCAAGTTTCCTACGAATACAGTTGCCAGCAGAATATGAACTTCCAACGTTGTTAGGATTTGTTTATTTACTGTATTTCACATCTCAAATATTTTCTGTTCCTTTCTGAGCGTTCAAAAGCAAAATCATTCGTACTTCGTGAATATATTTCTGAATCGTAAGGGATCTTCACCACTTCAGATCTTGTTTTGTATAATTCCTGGCTGCTAGTTTTTAACTGTTTTCCACTTTGAGGTTTTTCATTCATATATTCGTTAAATCGATCTTTTTCTTTATTCACTAATTCGTTTATCTCTGATTTCATTATACTTTCGTAATGTACATTACTTGATCTCTCATTCAGTGTTTTACCATGTTCAATAAATTCCTCTACAACTGGCTGTTGGCTAGATCGAAATGTAGCAGATAATGGATAATTGCCACAATTATCACATTGGTTTATGTTAGCGCCATGATTGGTCAGTTTCTTCACAACTGTCAAATGCCCTGATTGTGAAGCAACATATAGTGGCGACCTACCATATTTATTACATTGATTAATGTCAGCGCCACAATTGATTAGTTTTTCAACAACATTTAGATGCCCTGATTGTGAAGCAACAAATAATGGGAACTCGCCAAATTTAGCACATTGATTGATACAAGCGCCATGACTGATCAGTTTCTCCACAACAGTCAAATGCCCTGATTGTGAAGCAGCAATCAGTGGCGACCTGTTATATTCATTACATTGGTTTATGTCAGCGCCATGATTGATCAGTTTCTCCACAACAGTCAAATGCCCTGATTGTGAAGCAGAAGCTAGTGGCGAGTCGCCGAACATATGGCATTGGTTTATGTTAGCGCCATGACTGATCAGTTTCTCCACAACAGTCAAATTCCCTGATTGTGAAGCAGCAATCAGTGGCGACCTGTTACATTCATTACATTGGTTTATGTCAGCGCCATGATTGATCAGTTTCTCCACAACCGTCAAATGCCCTGATTGTGAAGCAGAAGTCAGTGGCGAGTCGCCGTACACATTGCATTGGTTTATGCTAGCGCCATGATTGATTAGTTTCTCCACAACAGTCAAATGCCCTGATTGTGAAGCAGCAATCAGTGGCGAGTCGCCAAATTCTATACACTGGTTTATGTCAGCACCATGATTGATCAGTTTCTCCACAACAGTCAAATAACCTGATCGTGAAGCAGCAAGCAGTGGGGGATCGCCATATTTATCAAATTTGTTAATGTCAGCGCCTACATGGATCAACAGATCCACAGCAGTTAAAAATCCATATTCGGAGGCAGAAATCAGTGGCAAATTCCCAAAAGTATGACAGCGGTTTAGGTAAGTGCAATAATTATTCAATTTTGCTACAAAAGTCATCTGAGCTGATTCTGTAGTGTCTGTTTTGTTGTCATCCTTATTTTTAAATTGAAACTCAACGTTATCAAATTCCTTTGATAGAGAAATAGTTTGCGACCGAAATAAGCAACCTGCTATCAAATGTAGTTCTTCGAGATTAAGTCTACTTAATAATTCGTTGTACATATGAATAACTCCCTCTTGCATGAATTTTAGGACAAAATCAATCAATATTCGATCGCCATTGTAGCTAGCAAGTACCAAATGCTTTACCTGATCATCAAACCCACCGAACATTAAATCTGTTGACTGGTTATGACTGACAACAAGCTCCGTCAAAAACCTAAGAATGTTAACATGACCATAGTACACTAGAAAACTAATAACGTTACTGCTGTCCGATTTTGAATTTAAGCATGACATACCGGACATGTTGTCAATCTGAGTCTTTCTAGAACGATCTAGAATGTAATATTTTTTTATGTCTTCAAATGTCTTTGCTTTCAAATATTTAAGAAAAATTTCAACAAACTCGGATGAAAGAAATATTCTGGCCTTTAAAATAGTTGGTCTTCCCTGTCGAATTTCCTCGTGAAATCTTTTAGCAAGGGATAGAAATAAACAGCTGTGTATTTCTAATTCTAAATGAACTGAAACACTGGCTTTTAAATCAACCTCATTAATTAAAAAGTCAATGGAGACATTATTGATGATAGCCTCTCCAAACGATTTTCCATAATGGGATGAAACAACCGAAAAGAGCAACGGGTGAGAAATTCGGAAATGAGTACCATTTTTAGACACAAATGATCCAAGCATGTTTGCTAGTGAATCTTGTATATCAGAGATTTTGATATTGATATCTACATTGCAAGTTTGGAGAGTAACTTTCAATGCTGAACTTTTTTCAAGTATCTCCTGAGAAATCTTGTTCTTATGAAGCACACAAAGCACAAGTGACGCATAACTTAAACTATCTCTCCTGATCAGACTATTAAGCTCATAATGAAGACAAAGCCAGGGCTCTTTGAAAAATTGCAACCCAAAACAATGCAGACTTTGAATCGAAGAGTACAGTCTACACAGTAATGGAAAAAAGGCAGGATTGTCATCTTCAAACAAATTCTTTGTTAATTCTGGTACTGCGCAATATTTCCTAAAGATGCTTAATCTTCCTTCAATAGCAGGTGCATAATTATCAAAATGAATTACGTTTTCCTGTTCAAAACGATTTTGACATTTCAAAGCCGTATTAAAAGTATCATTTGAGCATGTTATGAGAAGTTTTGATCCTGTTAAAAGTCTTGTCATGCTTCCATCTAAACACAAAAAAGGATGAGGCATGTTTTCAGCCAAGAGATTAAGCAGGAAAAACTGCGATTTGCTGGGCTGAAATAAGTGATTAATATCCGTAATGTTTGAAATAGGACGACAATGATAATGTTCCTTGAATTGGAGAGCAAGGTGGTGAGCTAGGCTTGTTTTACCACATCCAGGTTCTCCTACTAAAACGACGACATTGGTTTTCATCATTTTCTCAAAGACCGCTTTGTAGGCGCTCGTCTCATAGTAGGTGGCATCATCAATTGTTAATTCCTGTAGCATTTTTTGTTGATGATCTATAAAGAAAAAAAAAAGATGAATGTGGAAACACATTTGAAGATGTAAAAAACAACATTCCCTTATAATAAATCTTGTGTGGTACGATGTGTTTACTGAGAGAGTCATCTTAGTGAAGAAATAAAAAAATTGGCTTCGTTAATATTCAAGATCGTAGCTTTAAATAGAGTATACGATGCTGCTGTACGCTCTTGAACGCACGACTGGGATGAAATGAAAAAGGTGAAGAAAATGAACGGCGATCGATCTCGTGAAAATTACAAACAGTTCTGTGAACAAACATTAACGGGGAATTCCCAGAAATTCCAAAGGCGAGTCAGGTTCTAGTAGGAGTAAGCACTCACTTGGCCCTGTTTATCAGTTACTCCAACCGTAAGTAAAATAGATTGATCAGGTAAACTGAAGATTCCTTAGTCAAAATCAGCATAAAAACAAAATCTAACTATTGAAATGAAATATATAAGGTTAAAAAAACACTAATGTATCTATTAGTCTCCCGGGAGATAAAGAAAGTAAAGCATGGAAATAGGTCTTGATCATTAGACCTCTTCATTTTGTGTGATACAGACATGCACCAGAAGGATCGATACTATAGTCGAGAAAATTTACGGAAAGCTTCTAATCACATGAAAATCAAACAAAACCGATAATGCTTTCAATTTTATCATTTCCTCAGGTAACTGTCCTGTGCATAAAATATAAATTAGATTTAGATCGGCACACATATTACCATCATCGAAAATACACTTGACGTTTTGAAAATAATATACAAACTGTGTATCGTGCCCTTTTATGCGATAAGTAAAATGTAATGTTCTTAAAGAAAAGGGGCAACCTTTTGTTTTGTCGGCTGTAATTGATAAAGAAATTTGTATATTACAGATGAATTTTTTTTTTAAGATGTACCTCATGAAAGTAAAATAACTTTGTATCTCGTAATTTATAAAGGGAAATACCATTCTGATAATCACATTCAATCATTATCAAGTAAACAGTTGTAGTTAACTTTTAATTCTCAAAAAACTTCTCTCACCCAAAGCCCACACACCGAAACATGACCTTATGTTTGTAGAGCAGCCAAGTCGTTCGGGGCTGCAATACCGACCAAAGAATTTACGAAATGTCGACTTAAAAAGCGATTGTTGAAATCCTTCCAATATCAACTTATATATGAGTTTAAAAATTGACCGTACTTAGCAAATAAATTGGGAGAAATAAATATAATATGCAAGTGATAGCGGAATTTTACCTCAAAAATAAGGGAAGTCAACGATAGAAACACTGAGATCATCCTGTTTGTGATAAAATTTGACACTTAGTTTCGCTTTGTTGTCTTTTGTCAGTAAAACATCCATATATGTGGCAGACTCTTTGGTGTCTTTTATTTCACGTTCGCTAGGAGTCGACATAGGAGTGGACTAGAATTTTTTAATTGATAAATCGTAAAACGGTTTCTTCAAGAGACTGCATTGAGTCTTTTAATTAGTTAAATTGAAGTAATGCAGGACCCCCTTGTTATATGAACAAACGCTTCAGCTCAATAACCGGGCAGGACCGGAAAAAAAACAGTCTTGTATATTTAACATTTTCTGCCCAAATGATAACCCTTACGTTTTGAGTTACGGGTATCAACTGTATATCTTTATCATCAACGAGAGACATTTTCATGTAAGTATGTTTTTCAATGATATACGTTTTTACTTACACATTTCACTGGAATCAATATGGATTGTTTGTCCTCCAACAATTATTTTGTCTACAGAATATCTTCCAAGCACTTCAAACTTTCCAGGATTAACGTTTAATAGTTTTTGCACGTATTCATTCTTCATTTCAAAGACTAAATTAAAGCTACTTGTTTGACGAATACCGTCCAGTCGGAGACAGTCCTTGCAGTCTGTAGGACAACCAACTAATACAGCAATGGTCTCTCTTATTTTTTCTGCATATTCCCGAGGATAATTTATAATATTTTCAGATATATGGAAATGCACATGGGTGTGGCCATTGACTATAATTAAAAATATTTATAAATGATAAATGTGAAATGTTGTTCAAGGCAATTGAATCATAACATAAAGTAAGTTGCATGCTTTTGAATACCTGGTGTTTCACTTTCTGCGAAGTAACATAAGGCTTTTGAATCCTCAGTTGCATATTTAATGCACATTTTCTCAAGGTCTTCACGCTTTATGCGTCTTAAAAGAAGTTGCATGAAAACTACGTCGGTACTGCTAAAATAATTTTCAGACAAAAGAAAACTGAAGAAGTCAAGCAAAGTATCGAGTTCTTTAATTTTACTAGAGTCTACTTTTCTGTAGCCTGGTAATTCTGAAAAAAAATAAAGAAAAAAAAAAGATTTGAAGATTCCGTAATATTTCATTTCGTTCATTAAACATGATATGAATGAAAATTTCTGTTTGCTCCTGTTAACAAAGCATAATGAATATAAAACTGAACCAAACCCCAATTCAAAAACACTTATATCCACGTCTTACAAAAATAATTATTTCAAAATGTATTCAATATTTATTATCATTCACTTGTGATTTAGAGCAATTTGTGTTGCACAAGTGTTATATATATATATATATATATATATATATATATATATATATATATATATATATATATATATATATATATATGTGTGTGTGTGTGTGTGTGTGTGTGTGTGTGTGTGTGTTCCAAGATATTTGCTCTATTTTAATTTCATAAAATGTTAAAAAATTCGATACATTTTGAGAATAATAGTTGTGAATTTGTGAATTGTGAAAATTTATTTATTTATTTTTCTTTTAAAAATTATCCCAAAGATTTAGGAATGTACATACCCAGGCAATGTAAATAATATTTCAGCATTTTTAAATCTCCATCGGTCAAGGACTCTCGAATACTATCGCTGAATAGCAGAAACTTTGCTTTTGATGGCCCTTCCTTATAAAACTGGAGTATGTTTTCTACGAATGTATAGATAGAAT